TAAACAAATAACACATTTATACTATTCCGCCTGTGTTCCGTGCCACGACTGTCCTTTGCCACTGACATTCAAATAACCTTTCTTCTGCTGCATAAATGGGAATAAAAAAGTATTGTTGTGCGACTTCACATGACAGCAGAGCCCTGGCAGATGAAAAGAGGCAGAATTCTGATTCCAGCTCTTGTTAGGCTGTCGTCTCTCTACAGCTAGATCTGACTGTCATGGGTATCTGTTTAGAGAAGACTCTGTTTATCAACCGACAGCTGATCTCCACCGCCAAATGGGAAGTTCGTGTAGCAAAATGAATTGCTGCACTTAATGATGAAAGAACCTCGCTTAGTGCCATTTGCAAGCCAGTTCAGTGTCCCTGGTCTTTGTATGCTGATCTATAAATGCTCTGTTTTTAAGAAAATCTGCTTTTGTTTAACAGTCCTGAGAGTAGGCATTTGATCCTCCATAAGCTTTTGTTTGGTTTTGTTGCAAAATATTATAAAATGAGAATGTAATACCACAGTTTGTCTGATGGTAGACGAATTGTTAATCTGTTCATAATGCTGTGCCCTGTCCAGTTCCTTACATAATCTCTGACATGAGCCCACTGGCTTGCGTCACTCTGTCATTGACAGCTGTCAACACAACACGACCAACACACACATTCATATATACACACTCACTCGCACACCGCCATGCACAGAAAAGCAAATGTGTTTTTCCTCCAACTGCCTCGCATGCTTTCTTTCGGAATGATGTGCATTGTAAATGAGCCAATGGAGAAAAAAAAAAAGATCTGCATATACAGAACAGTATAGAAGCCTCGATTTCAGAGCTCATTTATTGTGCGCATCTATCATGAATCATCAGGCCATGAGAAAATGATTTAATGGTCCAATCGAGTAATGGGTTAAGCTCTCAGCATTATGACGGTGGCCTGGGCATGGGTCTGTAATGTAAGGGATAATCTTAATCCTTCAACGTTATGTCAGTAGTCCAAGGGTTCAGTGGGAACAGCCAGGAGATTTTGATGGGTGATTTTCCATGTTTGCACAAGCCTGTACGGTTTTCAGTTTTATTCTATTTTGTCTATGTAAGCAGCCGGCTATATTCAAAGTGTAATTTAAAAAAAAACAAGAATTAAAGAATAATAAACTGGAACTAAATAAAATGTTTTTATCTGCAAACAGTATATCCCAGTATACCAGGTCCTCCTCAGTGCATACTAATAGTTTTTCATTTGGAATTTACGCTGACTACCAGAGTATCAACATTTCTAAATATTTATTTACTAAATACGAATTATTAATAATGTATTTATTAGCCTCACAATGTGAATGTCTTGTGAATTAAGTAATACTAAATTTTCAGTGCATAGGGAGGAAGTTCTCTGCCTGACAGTGTCTGTCTGTTCAATGCTTATAATAAAATAAACTACGACAGGGCCCCTGTAAGCTGTTAGTGTGCATTTGGCAAATTGTTCTGGGCGTTCACATTTGACTGTCAGTTTCCAGCTCTTTGATAATATAGTGTAGTTTTAGCAGTGGGTTGATCTCAGGGCTGTGGAGAAGACAGTGAAGGGCACTGGGTGAACATGCAGAGGCCTCTCTGCCCTATTGGACATGTGCTCTGAGTGACACGTCATCCCCTCAAAGGGCCTGCTAGTGTGGTGAATCAGTGTCCTTGAACTGCTCGACCACAGACAGACAAAGAACAAGCTTTAGCATTCGGCTTGACTGTCTCCTCTCTTTGCCATGCCTATTGTCCAAGACACCCACGCCAGGCTGCAATGCTGCATACAGGAAATCAGTTTTGAGCCACTGTCCGGCCCTTATGGTTATGCTTGTGGTGTGATTGTGCTGTAGTGTGATTCGCACATAATCTTGGCGTCTCAGCAGGTGTCTTTGAAGTGGCCTGCGTGCAGAGGCCATCTCACAGTGCTGTGAGGAGCGGCAGGCTGCTGGGATGGGCTTTAGCATGGCTGCCCGTCTAACTGTGCCTGGCTTTGATGTCGTAAACAGAGCAGGCAGGGCTGGCTGGCAGGGAAGCGGGCAGGCAGGGAGGCAGGCAGGCAGGCAGGCGCGGTGAATGGGATCAGTGGCACTGCGCTGGTCAAGCTCAAGCGAGCCAGCAGCTGCCCGTTTCACACCAAGAGGCAGTTAACACCGCAGCTCATGTCAATAGATATTGACTGCCAGATTTGGGAGTGCTTATACAGTAAGCGCAGGCCTTTTTGTTTGACTGACTCTCCTGTGTGAACTCCTGTTTAAATCATCCTTAGTGTCTGAAGTGCAGCTTAGTGTACCCCATGATCATTCAAGAGGGCAACTTGCACGGTCATACAGGTATACAAATATTGACTTAGGCTGATGGTGTAGGTGACTTCATGGTGTATTTGATCTCCATTGTGTCATTGCTCTGTATTTATTCTCCTTGACCCCCCTCTCTCCACATCTTTTTGAAAGCAGCTTATCCCAGTGTGGAAATAACTATATGTTCAGACTCTCATACAAGAAACTACAGAGCCTGCCTCAGCCGGTCCAGAGACAAACCCTTTTTACTGTTGAGTGCACTGAGCATCCAGGGGCTTGTGCAGCGGTGGAGTGAGAGGGTGTTAGCTGGTGAGGCTGTGTGCACCCAGGGCCTTCCTGCTGCAGATAGGGCTTTGTGAGGCATGCTCGTGTATGTGTATGCCCTGCCCGGCCTGGCACCCCCGCGTCTCTACTCCCACTGCTTTCACCTGATGTGGCACAGCCTCTGTCAGGCCTGAGCGAGCGCCCAGCCAGCTCCGCTTCTTCAGGAGAGATGAAGGCATCTCACAGCTATGCTGTGGGGGTGGGGAAGCTAGCAGCAGCCTAAGCCTGGAGCTATCAGAGGCTGGAGCTCAGAGCCAAAAGCCTGTAGGCTGGATAGGGTGGGTGGAAGCTTGGCTTAACTTGACAAGACAACCATAGCCACAGCCCTGCACTGCCACCCAATGGCTGGGGCCTATCACTACAACCTTTAGTTCACCATAACCACAGCTAGTCATAATTACAGCACGCTTCAGTTGTTGTGAGTGCATGTCAGAACAAATTATGTAAGTAATGAGGCTGAAAATGCTAAAGGAGTTGAAACACACTGCACTGCTAATGCTCATGCAGGGAGAACACAAAAACAAACAATAGAGTGCACTCATACAGAGATAGACCTAACCGAAATAACAAGCAACTGTGCACAGTAAGGAAAAGATTAATTATAAATTAACCCTCTCAGTTAGGTAGTCAAAGCCCGCCTCCTGCCTGGATTTCACTCTAATCCGGGCCGACGAGGTGCAGTGCCCTCTATTGTACGTGAGAATCACAAATCGCAGGAGGTGTTGTCTGGAGGAGAATTAATTGTGCATGTTCTACCACTCCCTTTTGTTCATTTTACTAAAATGTAGGCTAATTCCATGTAAACATGGCCGGTCTTGTTGACTCCAGCAGCGCGAGGAGAACAGACACAGATTCCTGAATGAATAGAATGTGGCTCCGGGGTTAGTGGATTAGAGGCTCTGTGTTAAGGGCCTCTCCCGGGCATGCCTCAGGGACAAGGACATTATCCACATGACACATTACAAGCTCCTAGGCAGATGATTAAAATGGGCCGGGATCTCTGGATTGAACCCTAACAAAAGTACTTTTGATGTGATCAAACTAGTTTAAAGAGGTTGGTTGTTAAGGTGTACAAGGGATATTAGAAGCTTCTAGTCTTGGGAAAAAACATGAGGCTCGATAGTAGACAGTTAGGCCTGGCTAGAGGGGAGGGGCTGATGTAACACTTTGACATAGTGAATGTACCACCACTTTTTAAAAAATTATTATAATTTTTATTGCATCTTATTAAGGCAAAATCATAATATTCCTCCCCTAATTGGTATAGACTTGTGTTGCAATAGCCCCTTGCGCTGTGATTGGTTAGCTGCATGGCTGGTTGGAGAAAACCATTACATCGTGAGAAAATATCCCGCAGTGATCTTTCCTCGATTTAGATCAGATAGCGGAGTTCGTCTGGCGCTGCAGTGCACTGTTGGGATGGTGGGACTGAGATGTTGGAGATGTGGAGGAGGGCTGTGAGATAGAGATCTCTGGGGGGAGAACGAGAGAGAGAGAGGGGGGTAAGACAGAGGGGGAGGTGGAGGTGGAGAGGGATGTAGCATCAGTGGCTGCAGTGATAAAGCTGAGAGCAGTGGGACGAGCTGGGAGTTCTGTGTCTCTGATGTCTGTGTGTTCTGTCTGTTCTGTTGTGTTGCCCTGTGGTCTGCTCCTGAAGAGAAGGCCAACGATGGATGAGGCCTGTCCTCTCTGTGCTTTTGTCCTCTATGGCGGGTGAATCACAGGCCTGTCAACAGCACAACACCCACAGCCAACCACCCCCCACCCCCCACCACCCCTCACCGAACACAGTAACTGCCACCGCTCCATCCAGCACAGTGGGCATGTTATGATGCTTTGTGGCCGCAGAGGATTTACTCCTGAGGTTTTTATGGTTTTGAAGTTTAAGAGGCTTCATGAAGTCAAGTTTTCCAATAGCGAGTATGTGCCCTCATGTGGCTAAGTGAGCATTTGTCATTGCACAAGGCTAGTAGTAGTGCTACTGTGGTGTTTTAGGGTTTGTGGGTAGCTGGGTCTTTCCTTATGTAAGTTGTGTTTAGGATGCAAATTGACACCATGTTTACATTAGCTGCTTGTGAGGACTTAAAATGGCCTCCTTCTCACACACACACACAC